ACATTCAATGGAGGAAAAATGGTCTCTTCAACAAATGGTGCTGGGACAATAGGCTATCCACAAGCAAAAGAATGAAGTTGGACATTTATCTCACACTATATACCAAAATGGATCAAAGATCTAAACATAGGAGCTAAAACTATAAAACTCTTAGAAGAAAACATAGGGGTACACCTTCATGACCCTGAATTTGGCAATGGATTCTTAGACACCAAAAGCACAAGCAACAAAAGAAAAAATAGATAAATTGGACTTCATCAAAACTTAAAACTTTTGTGTATCAAAAGACACTATCAAGAGAGTGAAAAGACAATGTACAGAATGGAGAAAAAATTGCAAACTATATATCTGATAAGGGTCTAGTATCGAGAAAATATAAAGAACTCTTACAACTCAACAACAAAAAGACAAAAAATGCAATTAAAAATGGGCAAAAGACTTGAATAGACACTTCTCCAAAGAAGACATGTAAATGGGCGACAAGCACATGAAAATATGCTCAACATCACTAATCATTAGGGAAATACAAATCAAAACCACAATGAGATATCACTTCACACCCTTTAGGATGACTACTATCAAAAAACAAAAGTGTTGGTGAGGATGTGGAGAAATTGGAACCTTGTGCATTGCTAGTGGGAATGTAAGATAGTGCAGTCTCTATGGAAAACAGTATGGCTGTTCTTCAAAAAGTTAAAAATAACACTACCATATGATTCAGCAATACTACTTCTAAATAGACACACAAAAGAATTGAAAACAGAGTCTTGAAAAAATATTTGCACACCATGTTCACAGCAGCATTACTCACAATGGCTAAAAGGCAGAAGCATCCTATCAGCAGATGAACATAGAAGCAAAGTGTGGGATTTACATACAATGGAATATTATTTAGCCCTAAAAAGGAAGGAAATTCTGACACATACTACAACATGGATTAACCTTAAAGATATGCTAAATGACACAAGCTAATCCCAAAAACACAAATTCTGTATGATTCCACTTATAAGAAGTATCTAAAGCAGTCAAATTCACAGAGACAGAAAATGGAATGGTGGTTGCCAGGGGCTGGGGGGAGGGGGAAATGCAGAGTTGTTTAATGGGTATAGAGTTTCAGTTTGGGAAAGTGAAAAAGTTTTGGAGATTGGCTGCATAACAGTGTGAACAGACAACACTACTAACCTATACATTTAAAAATAGTTAAGATGGTAAATTTTATGTGTATTTTACCATAATTTTTTTAAGGTTTTATTTTTCCTTTTTCTCCCAAAGCCCCCTGGCACATGGTTGTGTATTTTTAGTTGTGGGTCCTTCTTGTTGTGGCATGTGGGATGCCACTTCAGTGTGGCTTGATGAGCAGTGCCACGTCCACGGCCAGGGTTCGAACTGGTGAAACCCTGGGCTGCCAAAGCAGAGTGCGCAAACTTAACCACTTGGCCACGGGGCCAGCCCCCTACCATAATTTTTTTAAATAAATTTTTAAAAATCAAAACAAGGGGGGGCAAGAATTTGCATAGACATTTCCCCTGAGAAGATATACAGATGGCCAACAAGCACATGAAAAGATGTCCAACATCATTAGTCATTAGGGAAATGCAAATAAAAACCAAAACCTACCCACTAGGAAGGCTATAATTTACAAAAAAAAAAAAAAAAAGGAAAATAAGTGTTGGCAAGGATATGGAGAAACTGGAACCCTCATACATTGCTGGTTGGAATTTAAAACAGTTCAGCCACTACAGAAAACAGTTTCACAGTTCCTCAAAAAGTTAAACATAGAATTACCACAAGACCCAGCTAGTGTACTCCTAGGAATTGAAAGCAGGTGTTCAAATAAAAACCTGCACACAAATGTTCCTAGCAGCACTATTTACAATAACCAAAAGGTGGAAACAATTCAAATATCCATCAACAGATGAATGGACAAACTGTGGTATATCCATGCAATGGAATATTATTCAGCCATAAAAAGGAATGAAATACTGATACGTGCTACAACATGGATGAACCTTCAAAACTTTATGCTAAATGAAAGAAGCCAGACACAAAACTACACACTGTATGATTCCATTTACTTGAAATATCCAGAATAGGCAAATCCATAGAGACAGAAAGCAGATTAGTGGTTGCCAGGGGCTGGAGGGAGGAGAGAATGAGGATTGACTGCTAATAGGTACAGGGTTTCCTTTTGGGGTGATGAAAAGTTCTGGAACTAAAAAGTGATGACGGTTTCACATCATGTGGAAGTACTTAATTCCATTGAATTGCACACTTTAAAATGGTTAAAATGGTAAATTTTATGACATGTATTTTAACATAATTTAAAAAATCATGAGGGGCCGGCCCCGTGGCCGAGTGGTTAAGTTCGCACACTCCACTTCGGCAGCCCGGGGTTTCGCGGGTTCGGATCCTGGGCAAGGACATGGCACCACTCACCAAGCCATGCTGAGGCAGCATCCTACATGCCACACCTAGAAGGACCCACAACTAAAAACAATATACAACTATATACTGGGGGGATTTGGGGAGGAAAAAGCAGAAAAAGAAAAGAAGATTGGCAATAGTTGTTAGCTCAGGTGCCAATCTTAAAAAAAAAATCGCTAAGGATATATAAGATTTTTCCAACACAATTAAAAGACGACCTTATTGGCATGCAGAACACTACAACCAAGAATTGCAGAATACACTTTCTTTTCAAGTCCACGTGAAATATCTACTAAAATTGATCTCTCTCTGGACAGAAAAGCAAGACTTGACAAATTGCAAAGAAGTGAAATCATACTGGGTAGGTTATCTGATTTAAAATATAACAACAACCAGGCAAAAACACATGTACTCAGAAAAGAAAAAAAAAAAAGACATGAATCCAGATCATTCCAAAGCTGAAGGAGGTGGATGATTGGGGGCCTCCAAGTTCCCAGCTCCTCCGTCCCTCCCCCACTTGGGTCAATCGGGCCTCCCAGCCTGCCCTTGACACTCTAACCTGTGCCCACAGCTTCCGTCTCCCAGCAGAAAAGAATTCCATTTCCCATGGGTCCTTTGAAGAGCTCACAGGAACTGCAACAACCAGGCGCTGGGCCAAGTGCTTTATCAGTGCTGTCTCCTGAAGCCCCCACAGGGACTTTACACCGGGAGAAACTGAGGCTCAGTGAGATAAATAACTCCCCCCAGGCCACACAGCTGTCATGTGGAGAAATAGAGAGGGCTCCCACCCAGAACCCTTGCTCCCGAGCATCGAGCAATACTGCCTCCAGAGAGAAAGTCAGGGTCCTCAATGTCTCTTGGCCGCAAATAGGAACTATGCTGCCCCACCCACTTCTAATCTGTGAAGGTGCTGATGTTTCTCTTCAGCTGTGGACATTAATGTGGGGCCACGGGCAGCGCAGGCCCACCAAGCTGGAGGGTATTCTCCACCTGAGGGTTCACTGGATAGTGGCAGCTGCCCTCGCTGGCAGTTCTTAGCCACGGGGAGAGGCAGCCAGGGCTTGGCATATCAGCGACTGGGTCCTGAGACTGCCCTGGGGCCTGGCCAAGGGTGGGGCTGGGGAGAGGAGAGGTGTGTTTAGTGCTCCTCTCAAGATACGCCAGCAACACCTGCTCTCCATAAACAAACAGAGTGAGCCGTCTTGGGGGAACATTAGCCAGTTAATGGGCGTTAGCTCTGGTGACATGCCCGTGGAATATGCATGTCTTCTCTCCCATCCACAGTCAGGCCACTGGCCCAGGTGGACATAACTGGAGTTGTCCCACAACTACTCTTCCTGCCAAGGTCACCAAAGCTCTCACCCTCCCCAGGCTAGGTGCCCCAATGTGCCCACGCCCACCCAGGCTGCCATCAGACTGTGGCCTTGTCATTCTTGACCCTGCAGGAATCTGCAGGCTGGGCCTTTGGGCTCTCCATCATTTAAATTTTAATATTAGTAGTGAATACTATTGTTATTCTTACGTAATAATCTAATTCATAGTAAAATCCTTACTAGGAGCCAGACTCTAATACTTGGTCTTGTGTATACTACCTCTCTCAGTCCTCCCCAGGACACTGGCAGAAATCATTATTCCCACCTCACACATGCAGAACCTGAGACCCAGAGAGGGCAAGTGTCTTGGCCAGGGCCACAGAGCTATCACACAGAGGCAAGTCTGAAGTCGGGTTCATCCCAGCTTTTTATTCCATCCTACATGCCCTGGACTTTCCTAGTTAACTCCAGAAATAGACAGGCTGGCCTGTTGTCCCCATGAGTAACTGAAATATCCCCAACCCAGCACGGGGCTCTGACCACCCCTGGGTGAGCAATGATGGGGCAGTGATTGGTGGAGCCAGATGGGGTGATGGGGGACACAGAAGGAGGACATGGAGATGGGGGGTCTAGGCTCACCAGGCATGCACAACACCAGCTACACTTACCACCTGAGGGAGGGCAAGAGAGCCCAAAGAGGGGGTCCCCGGAGCAGATAGAGGAAAGAAGAAGGAGTTATTAAGTCCCAAGCAGCACTGAGACAGCCCAGGGCCTGGGCCAGACACAGCCTCACAGCCCAGGGCACCCACTTGTCCCTTCTCTGTTTGCCTGGTGAGTGGTGGGGGTGATGAGAATGCCTCTTGAGGGAACCTACCATTTGACTGGTAGGAGCTGCCTGGAGTGTGGCACACAAATGGGGCTACATTTGGGCTTGTGGGACAAGAGGTAGGAAGAGCACACAATCTTTTAGCAAAGTCTGGCATGGACACAGCTAGGGCTGCCCATCGTATTGAGCACATCCTAAAATTCCACGTGCCTCAGCTCTTCTCACTGCCCCTTTTGGGTGGGGACACGGGCAGGTCTCAAGTGGATAAACCAAGGAAGGGCCAAGTCTGGAAGCCAAGCTGCCCAACTCCCAAGCCTGCTAAAAGAAGCATGGCCACTGAGCAAGAGGCCTCAGGCAGGAGGCTGGAGAAAGCCAGCCCCTGGGCAACTCGGGGCAGGTCGGTGAGAGGACACTCCCCCTCCCTGCCTCCCCAACTCACGTGTCCGTGCAGGTCCGTGTTGAGCAGCATCAGCGCACAGGTGAGGGTGTGGATTCCGTCTAAATCAGAGATGGTGGCATCTTCAGTGTGAGGACCCACTCATTCCCAGTCCCAGCCACCCACCTATCTCCTGACAGAGCCAGCTCAGAGGCTTTGAGACAGGAAGAGGCCAGCCAGCTGCTGAATGCACCTCAGGGCCCAAGGCCTGTGACACTCCTTGTCCCACTGCAGCACTGGACTCACTTGCCTGCCAGGGGTCAGGGCCAACCCCTCCCTCAGAGGAGACCTGATCACCCTGGGTCTGTTCTAGCCCAGACACTTGCTTCCTAGGGCCAAACTCACCTCAAACCTCAGAAGACCCAAGAATTCTCTGGGTCCTGGGCCATGTCTCTGCCATAACCTGTGTCTCCTCCAATAACTAGCCTCATCCCCCAGTTCCTGGGACTCAGGTCCATTCATAGGTCACTGCCCTAAGAGGGCCCTGACCCAGACCTCCAGGCCAGGACTCCCACCACACCAAGAATCAGCAGTGAGACAGGGGACTAAGGAGGATGAAGACCCAAAGGTCTGAATCTAGGATGGAGGACTCTCAGGCACAGGGAACAACAATGGGTAAGACATTTGGGGGGGTCTCTTGCTCAGCAGGCAGACCCCTTTACATATGCCATAGTTCATTCACTCAATGTTTATTGAGCAGGACACTGGGGCAGGTGGACCAGGGGCAGGATGAAGCCAGGGCCAGGCTGGGAGGCGGGGGTCAGGCAGAGTAGGGCAAGTGGCCATACCTTCTGAGGTGCTGTCATCAGGGTTGCACTGGCAGTACCGGCGGGAGAAGTGCGTAAGAACACGCTCGCGCTCCTGTGTCTCCCCCATCAGCGGGAAGGCCTTCAGGAAGGTTCTGGAGGACAATTCAAGGATACTGAGGGCCTCCCAGAGCCCATGAGTCAGTCTGGGTCCTCACCCAGGGTAGGAGGCACCCACCACACATACACACATCTACCCAAGGAGATCAACGCTCCAGTGCCCCAGCATCTGGGCCCAGGGAGGCACTCTGGTCCCTGGGACAGCCTCTGGAGAGTGGAGGCCAGGGGGCCTGGCAGACTTTAGAGTGTCAGCCTTCATCGCCCTCCAGGGCCCTTTTGGAAGTAGGCAGGGGACAGATTGTGAAGAAAAAACACAGATGAGCACCTCAGTGCCAGCATCAGCTCTTCTTTGGGGTAAATGCCTGCTTCTCGCTCCCTCCTCTATGCCTGGGCCCAGATGGTGATGCCTGCCCCTAAGACTGCTCTTCCTCAGTCATTCCCACTCCTCACTTGATGTGCCCCCAGCTGAGCCCCAGGCCCAACCCTAGCCTCCCTCACTCTTCTCTCACCCCAAGTCTGAGCTGTCCCCAAGTCTCGATGGTTTGTTCTTCACCCTAGATCTCAATCCCTCCTCCTCTGTCCTCATCATACACCCAGGAACTCTGCAACAGCCTCCTAACAGGTACACCCCCTGCACGGCCCTAACACATCCTCCCTGCAACGCTGAGTGCTCTTTCTAAACACACATGCAGTCAAGACTTGCCCCTGCTTAAAACCCATCACTGGCTCCCCAGAGCCCTCAGAGCAACGTCCAAGCTTCTCATTTCTGGTCCTTGCTGTCCACACCACCTCCCTGCTGCTCCTCCAACCTCACACCCACCGGCTGCCTCCCCACACCATCTTCACACCCTGGACAGGACAGGCATGTTCACTCCTCCGTGACTCTGAGCAGGGTGGCCCTGCCCGGAAGGCCCTTCCTTCCTCAGCGGGGCAGCTCTGAATCCCCCTTAAGGACCACTTCAAAGGTTACTGCCTCTCAGGGCCCCTGGCAGCTGATCCCCAAACCAGAGGGGCTGGGAGATGGGGCCAGGGTCCCTCACCTTGGGGCCTGGGCATACCCCTTCTTGAAAAGGGAAATTACAAGCTGAGCCATTTTGGGCCTCTACCTGTCCTGGGTTCATGAAGCCAGTTTGTTCCTAATTTTGCTATGGTTCACTGGTTTCTGTAACCCCACTTTGCTTTATCTTCTTTCATACTGCTCCTAAGGCACCCTGGGACCTGTGAGCCACATCTTGGTCAGCCCTTACCCTCTGAGGCTTCTCAAGGCATCCAAAACTGCAGACCACCCTGTAATTCAATCCCAATCAATCAAGTGCAGTACAAAACCCTCTGTCTGCCATCTACTGTTCCTCCATCTGTCTTTCCTGCTCCCTGTTCTCTTCCCCCCATCTGGCCACGAGCTCTGGCCCCTCTCTCTTCTCCTCACACTCCACTAGAACTTTCTAAGACCCTTCCCCCATCCCCACTTTAGCCTGTCCAGCTATGAGCCATCCATCCTAGCTTTTACTCCCCAGCCCAAACACCTCTTGCCCGGGGGTCTTCACCAAGCCCCAACCCAGCTCAGCCGCCACCAAACTCTCAGGCTGCCCCCAAGGTCAGCCTCCCCACTGTCTACTCTCTCCCCTGCATCTTGACACCACCAGCCACTCTACTATATCTTCTGTGCAACCTCTCCCACCCACCCTTCCTCTAGCCCCAGTGCCCAACCTCAGGCCTTGTCCTCTCCCACCTGACCCTCTTTGGAAGTCTGCACACCTCTGGATCCAAGGCCACCAGCACCCTACTGCCAGCACTGCCTCCCCAAACACTGATTTACACCCAGCAGCTTCTGTGGTGCCTGTGCAGTGAAGCCTCAGTCTATCGGGCTGGCACACAAGGTCCTCTGATCATGAGCTGACCCACCGAACAGCTTCTTCACTCCAACACAAACTTCAGACTCAGCTCAGGATACAGTAGCCTGCAGCAGACCAACACTTCCACTGAGAATGATGAGAATCCCGGACAGAATATATCTCTTTTAAGCTATCAGAAAACTGTAGATGCAACAAAGACCAAAAGCACCAAGATTCTGGAGGAGAAAGTTAAGGAAAGGTGGGCCGATCTGCAGCTGCTTTTTCCCGGGGCCATTGCAAATTACAGGCACAGGCAAGAGACAGAACCTGTGACAGCTTCACGTTGCTCAAGTGACAAACCCAGACACTTGAGGGGCTGTAGACACACAGATTTCCCTTTGAGATATTCGCCAAATTCTGAATATATGAAGGGCAGGACGCTAAAAAGCTGAGCAGAAAGCCTCTGAGAAGTAGGGGCATTTGGCTTTTTTTGAGAGTCTTGCCGCATTGAAGAGATAAAACTACCAAAGGGAGAGGCCCCAGTGAACCACCAGGCTCCCAGTGGGAAGCCCTGCAGGCCCCCACCCCATGAGGGGGTGGGCCCTGAGCCTTCCCAAACTTCAGTGCAGCCTCTCCTCAGCTCAGCCCTGGTTGGATTAGGACTGAGCACCCCTGCGCCCCTAAGTGCCCAGCAGAGGACAGGGTAGACCCTCTCTGGAGGAACATGTAATAATCTAGAACCACTATAATTCTACACAAAAGGTACAGCATCCAATTAAAAAATTACAGGGACCAGCTGGTGGTGTAGTAGTTAAGTTCAACACACTCTGCTTTGGCAGCCCAGGTTCGCAGGTTCAGATCTTGGGCCTGGACCTACACCACTCATCAGCCATGCTGTGGTGGTGACCCACATATAAAGTGGAGGAAGATTGGCACAGATGTTAGCTAAGGGCTAATCTTCCTCAGCAAATAAATAAACAAATAAATAAATAAAAATTAAAAATTACTAAGCATGCAGAGAGACCAAATATATGATAGAAAACCAAGAGGAATGAAAAGAGACAATAGAAACAGATAGAGATGGTTTACATGAGGCAGATACTGGGGTGAGCAGATAAGGACTTTCAAATAACTATGACCAATACATTCAAGAAAAGGGAGGGGAAGATGGAGAAAATAAGTGAAAAGATGAAGAATCCCCACAGAAAATTAGAATCTATAAAAACAAATTTTTAATAAAATGAAAACTCTAGAACTGAAAAATATAACAATAGAGAGTAAAAACTCAATAAATGGGTTTAACGACGCACTAGATACAACAAAAGGGTAAGTGAACTGGAAAGATCTCCCAACTGAAGCAGAGAAAAAAGAATGGGAAATATATTTTTTTAAGTGTAAGCGACACATGGAGCATGGCAAGAAGACGTCACATACGTGGACCACCCACCCCTTGGCTCAGAGCCTGTTGTCCCTTCCCGCTGGGGATCTGGCCTGACGTCTCCCTGCTGGCCCTGCCACCAGCATCTGCTATACACTGGGCTGCATCCTCCATTCCACCCCCAGCGCTCCCTGGGGCCAGGTGCAGGCCTGGCCCTCCCAAGGGCTACTCTCTGGGTCCAGACACCAGTAGGACCTGAGATCAAATCCCCCTTTTACCATCTCCTCCCTCAAGGCTGTGGGGAAGTCGCTTTACCTCTCTGGACTACAGTTTCTTCATTGGTAAATGGGAATGATAACACCTACCTCACAGGGGTGTTGTGAGGATGAAGTCAGCAGGGTGTGTAAAGACCTATACCATCCTACAGATAGGAAGTGCTCAGTACAGGCAAGCCCTTTGCCCCTTTCCTCTCCTAAAGAGTCACGACCGCATTCCACCTTCATATCAGCGCCTACCACAAAGCCGGGACTCATTGAGTCACTGGATTGCTGCTGCCCTGATGACGCCTTCCCCATAGCCTCCCCAGAGGGGTCAAGAGACTTGCCCACGGTTGCACAGTAAGTGTATGATAGAACAAGCATAAGAACCTAGATGCACCACCTGTACCCCCTGTGGGCACTGTCCCATCCCAACCCCACTGACCTGAGTGCTCGGTCCAGAGTTAGGCCTGAGAAGTCAAAGAAGCTGAGGTACTCCCCGGCCACCAGCCTGCTGAACTCGTTGCTGTCGGGAGAGCATGAAGTGTCCATCAGAATCAGGGCACAGCAAATAATGCAGGGTATGTGGGCAGTGGGTCCCCAGGGAACCCTGACCCCCCATCCAGACCTGCCCACACCTAAGCTGCCTCCCCCTGCTAGTCAGTCAGGCTCTGACAGTTCAACCTTGGGCTGGGGGTCAGGAAGACTTCCTAGAGGAGTTGATGTCTTAGCCAACACCTTCGTAGCCTCTTAGAAAGTAAGAGCCAGGCAGGTGAAGGGAGTAGGAGGTGGGATGGTGTAGAGTGTCCCCAACAGAGGAAACCACACAACATGTCCAAGAAGCTACCAGCAGGGCCATGCAGCCAGAACTGGAGAGCAGGAACGGGGGCAGCAAGAAACGAGGCAGGGAACCGGGCCTGAGGGCCGAGGGAAGGGTTGGGACTTGATTTGGAAGGGCTTGAAGCAGGGGGGGGGGGGTGAGTGAGATGGTCAGATGTGTACTGGGAACACTCTACCTGCTGAGTGAAGACCCACTGGGGGGCTTCAGTAGCTGGCAGGAGAGAGGTGGAAGGGATGGGGAGGAGAGAGATTTCAGAATCCACAGGACATGGAGATGGAATGGGTATGGGGCATGACCAAGAAGGTGGTGCCTGGGGGAGACGTCCAGCACTCAGGACAACAGGTGGGGCTGGATGCACCCACGTGAGAGTCGTCAGCCCACAGCTGGTTAATAACAACTCAGTGGAAGGGTGGATGAGGTGTGCGAGAGGAGGGTGCACAGACAGGGCAGCAGACCCAGGACGGAAATCTGAGGAAGGCCCCTCTTAAGGGTGGGCTGAGGAGAGAGAGCCAGTGAAGGAAACAGCAACAGCAGCCAGAGAGGTAGGAGTGTGGTGTCCTGGAGGCCAAGGGAGAGAGTGTTTCAAGAAGACTGGAGAGATGAATTCTTGCTGAAAAAAAAATAACAAATTTCCACCTGAATCTAATCAAGCCCCGAGCTCTCCCCTCCATTTATAGGAGACCTGGGAAATAGAGGAATGTGTGAAGTAACACCATGAGGATACCAAATCCAAAACGTGGAAAATTCTTCCAGACAAATGGCTCCGTTTCTTCAACAAATACATGGCGTTAAAAAAAGAGGGACTGTCAGACTGTTGTTGATTAAAAGAGACTTAAGAGACATACTGGCCAAATGTAATGTGTGGACCTTGTTTGCATCCTGAGTTGAACAAACATTTTTTGAGACAATCAGAGAAAATTAAACATAGACTGAATGTTAGAGATACTAAGAAATTTTTGTTATTTTGTTAGAAATGGTAAAAGAATCCTTATCAGTTAGAGACACATTCTAAAGTATTTACAGATCAAATGATAGAGTGCCTAAAATATGCTTTAAAATATTTCAGCACCTGGAGAAGGGGCCTGTGGGGGGACTAGATGAAACAAGAATAGAAAAATGCTGGTAACTTTAAAGCTGAGTAATGGGTACATGGACGCTTAATATATTATTTTCTCTGCTTCTGTATATGTTTGAAATTTTCATAATAAGAAGCTTAATTAAAGAAAAAGAAAAGAGTGGCTGGGGCGTCAACACTGTTGAAGGGGGATAAGGTGAGGTCTGGTAGCAGCCACCGGATTCAGACACCAGGCTGCTACTCACCCTGACGAGAGGGGCTTCCGAAGAGGAGGGGTGGGGAAGAAGCCAGCCCAGAGGGGCTGAATGTGGAGAAGGGGAGGGGACAGACGCCACCCAGGGCAGAAATCCCGGAAATCATGGCTGTGAAGAGGCTGAGGGAGGACATGCAGTTGAGGAAGGATTTTTGTTTTCAGATGGGAGAGACTTAAGCACAATGAAATGCTGATGGGAAAACTCCTGTAGAGGGAGTCTCAGAAAGGATCAACCATCATGAAGGCTCCTGGAGGATGGCATAAATTGGCGAGGTAGGTTACAACCCAGCTCAGAGGTGGGGGCTTCAGAGTTGTGATTTCTGGGCTGGGGCTGGGAGGCCAGAGCGATGTGGAGGCTGCAGGAGGGTGGCAGAGGTGAGAGGGAAGGAGAAGAGAGGGATCTGGGAGCAGAGCCCCCTCACTCCTTCCTGTGGCCTAAGCCCCTAGTCAGCTCCAACCTAGGGTCTAGGGTCTGGACTGTACCCCTAGCCTTGTGAGCCAGGCCTGCTTCCGCACATCTGGGAGCCTTAATGTGGTTGTTGGGAGGCATTCTGGAGGAAGGACAAAGGCAGCTGGACATGCTGGTGGTCAGACATGCTTGAGATGTTGCCCCAGTCTCACAGTCCCCACCCCCTTCAGGACTCCCAGCTGGCTAGTCCCCCCCCACCCCCCAAACTCCATCCAGAAGCCAGGGCTTGTGCTTTGGCCCCTTTAGCCAGTCCCAATAGACAGTGAGTGGGGTTTAATGAGGGCCAGGAACCCCTTCCCCACCTCCTGGGGCCCAGGTTCTCCTCTCTCCATGGCCCCAGTAAGTAGGCCACTAGCCTCTGCCCAGCTGCTCTGTCCTCACTACCACCCCTCATGGCCCCGTAACCACATGCCACATCCCACTCTCCTAGCCCCAAGGGGCTGCCCTACCACTACCTCCCCTCCCTGAGAGCATGGGCCCTGGCCCAGGCTGCCCAGAAAGGAAATAGATTTAGGGCAAGGCCAGGAATGAGGACAGTGGCAGGAGGAGGAGTTCTTGGGGACCGTTGGGAGCCCCCTGAGCACCAGGCACCCCTGACAGTAGTCACAACCCCTTCAGGCTGAGGAAGACACTGGGTTTGCCTGGGATGGGGGGTACAGGAGATGGAACTCACTTCTTGCCCAACTGCCGGGCGACATCACAGCGCTGGAAGCCCTCGAGGTGGTAGAGGCGGCGTGCCAGCCGGCGAGCAGCTTCACTGACCCCCTGGCACCCATTGGCCAGTGGGTCTGTGCCCCCAGGCTCCAGCCCCTCCGAGCTGCTCAGCTCTGAGTCAGAGTCCGACAGGCCATCCTTTAGGCTCGGGTCGCTGCAAAGGGAAAGTGGGGGTAGAGAGGAGGGGACTAGAGGCCCAGGGTCAGAGGCCCTAGCAGGGGGCTGGAAGGTCTCCCCAGGACTCTGAAAACCTATGCAGGGGCCAGAGCAGGGAAAAACACTCCACTGCATCAGGAAGGAATCAAGTCAGAATTATAGAAGAGCGCCTCAAGTGAGACCATCAGATGCTATACAAGCACACAGCACAGCTCCCTGGCCCCACCAGGGCTGGAAAAGCCTGGAAGAGCAGAATGGAACCTCAGGACTGGGGTGGGAAGTCTGGGTGCAGAGGAAGACATGATGACCTTGTTCACTCTGGGTACTGCCCTAACTTGCCTTGCCTCCTCTGGGTCTGTTTCCCCATCTGCTCAATGGTTCCAGCTTCCAACCTGCGCCCTGCCTTACCTGGCTGAGTTCAGCAACTTGTCTGTGTCCTCCTCCTCTTCATCCTCATCCCCATCTGGGCCCTGGGGTCCATCTTCATGGAAGCCATTGGGCACGGCCGTGAGAGACAGGCGGCTCAGGACGTTCTCTGAGCGACTACAGGAGATGGAGCGCCGCAGGGGGCTGCCCAGCTCCCCATCACCACCAGCTGCTCCCATGTCCGCCTCAGGCCCCATGTCCCCAATGCCCAAACCAGCCCCTGGCTCAGGGCTGTCACGGGCCCTCTGCTGGATGAGGGGTGTGAGGGGGGCCTCGAAGCTGACGCAGCTGTCACTCTCGTCTGTGAGGCTCAGCACATCGAGGGAGTCAAGGCTGCTGTACTGGGTGCCCCGCAGTAGCTCTGACTCCACAATCTTCTCAAAAGTGGCGCTGAAGCCATCCCGCACATCTGGCTCTCCGGGGCCACCCAGCCTGCAGGATGCAAGGACCAGTCACCATCCTCCCGGGGTGTCTCCCATTACAGGTGCTGACTGCATCAATCTGGGTCTGGGAGCTCCCTTGGGGGCTGGGGGCAGGCATGGACTGTGTCCTGTTTATTCTTTCAGCCAGTACTTACTGAGCACCAGGTGCCAGGTGCTGGGCTGGGTACTGGGATACAGCAGTGAGGAGGACAGGCATGGCCCAGTCCCCCATGCCCAACCCATGCCTGACCCATAGTTGGCATCATGCATCTAAATGAAGGAGTGTGAGGCTGAGGCTCTTCCTCCAGCCTGGCCCAGGGGGCGCTGCTCCCTCCAGGTTCCCAGAGCAGTGTGGGCATCCTCCTACCCCAACAAGTGTCACACATGGCCATAATGTTGCTGTCCCCACAGCCTGGGAGGTTCTTAGCTTGGCTGACCACATTCCAGCTCTCAGGTTTTGCCTTAATGTCACCTCCAGGCAGGTCCACACCACCCACCACACTGGCCCCCTCTCAGTATTTTCCATCCTCAGGGCATCTTTTCCTTTCCTCCCAGCCCCTCTCAGCAGGTAGGACTCTGATGCCCATTTACCATCTGTTCCCCAGCACCCCCCAACTTGCCCTACAAGGCCAGGAAGCACCCAGCACACAGTAGGTGCTCAGTAAACCTTGCTGAATGGTGCACTGGGTGACTGAACAGAGGTTTTTCAGTCCCATAGCCCACCACACTGCCTAAGCCCTGCAGGGCCCTGCGCTGCCCCAGAAGAGGCCTTTGCACCAGCTGTCCCCTCGGCCCAGAGCACTTTTCCCTCAAGCTGAAGCCTCCTCCCTTGACCCTTTCTCGATGAGGTCTGCCCTGACCACTCTATTTGTAACTGGGACCTCTCCTCAAACGCCCCAGCCCGTTTTTCCTCCTTTATTTTTTCTGAAGCACTTACCTCCTTCTAACATATTATATAATCATTTATTATTTTTGTGATTTATTATCTATCTCCCCGCTAGACTATTAGCCCCATGAGAGGAGGAATTTTTGTCTGTTCTGTTCACTGACGTATCCCCAGCCCCTATAATAGAGCCCCACACACAGCTGAACTGAGGCATCCGAGGAGGATTCTCATCCACTGGGGAGATGCGCAGGTAAGCAGGGAGGTTAGGCGAGGAGGAGGAGAGAGACTGAAAGAGGGAAAGACCACAACAGAGACAAGAAGAGAGAGACAGAGAGGAAGAGAAATAGGAGAGAGACAGGAAAAAGACAAAGAAAAGAGATAGAGAAAGTGTGAGAAACAGACAGAGCGACAGAGAATAAGAGAGACAGAGAGTAACAGAGATAAAGAGAGACAATGAGAGGGAGAGAGAAACATAGAGACAGCAAGAGGAAGAGACACAAACACAGAAAGAAGCAGGCTGAGCCCAGCCCATTTCAGAGAAATCAAGGCCCTTCATTTGCAAAGAAGTGCACCCCTGTCTCCTGCTGAGGATCTGGCTTCTCCTCCAGCCCCTGCTGCCTAGCAGAGACCTAGCTGTATTTGGAGGTCCCTTCCACTCAAACACCTCCTTGGACCCCCCAGTGTCTAAGATTTGGTCCCAGTGTGTTTCCTGTAGAAACAAACTGACCTGAGAGAGAAAAAGCTGGAGCCAAGCCATCTGGCCACCCCTGTCCCAGCAGAAGTTGAGACTGTAGCCTCATGAGGCCTTCTCCTTCCAGAGAAGGAAGTGGGGAGGAGGGCAGAAATCTAAAAAGTGGCAGGATGCCTGGCAGGGGGCTGGGGTGGAGTTGCTTCCACTGACCTCCAGGAGGAGGGGAGGGGAGAGAAGGGTCACCGCCCTGGCCACCAGAGTAGACACTTGAAATGTGCCCAGCAAAGGCACCTCCACCAGGCCTGTGCTGGGTCCTGGAGACACTTGAACAGCAATACAGAGTCCTGCCCTTGGGGGCTCTCATCTCACTGTCAGAGACATGAATGGTCTCCCCTACCTCCCATCTCCCACCTTCCCATGCACCTGAGCAGACCTGTGGGGTGGTTCTGACAGGGGCTTAAAAACCATCAGCCCAATCTCTAAACCTTCATCTGCCCCCACCTTCAGCCATCCCAAATAGATATGCCACCTAAATACAAACAGTGTGCTCTAAGAAGCCCCAACCCTCTGCCGGCAACCCACAGCCAGCCAGGTGGCCGCTCTAGGACCTGCCCGGATGGAAATGCTCTTATGGCCATGGCATACCTGGTACACACGGGCACCTGATCCCACATACCCACATTCCTACCTGTGGAGACCTAGGCACATTTGGCCCTACACACTCATGTGCAAACCCAAATGTGCACCCACAAATGAATAGGCCAGGCACACACAAACACCCCCCACTGACAACCACATAGACCCATGCACACCAAAATGCTCACACTTCTCTGTGCACACACCAATGCACAGGCCAGGCATACACATGCATGCCACACACACACACTCACACACCTTCTGCACACTTGCTTGTCCAGGTCAGGGCCTGCAGCTATGCACACTAAGACTTCCATATGCTTTCTTTTCTCAGCCCATTCCCCTGCCCCATCCCTACCCTCTGTGTCCAACTGGAACCTCTAAGGCACTGAATCTCCCCACCTCCTGGTAAGGATAACAGAAATGGAGCTGTAACTCCAGTAAACAGGATTGAAGTGAGATTCCTGGTAGAACTTCCAGATGGCACTCAGGTGAGGGGTAGCAAACAGGGATTAACCCACAAAGCCTACTCTCCTGAGGTCAGTTGCAGAATTGGGAGATCCTCATCTCCAAGAAGCAGAATGATAGACCAGATGACCTTCTACATGAAGGCATTTTGAAATTCTAATTCCTGGGATGGAGGGAGTCCGGCCCTCCAACCCCACATAGAAACAGCTCATGATGGTTTGGGGGGCTGAAGGTGGCCTTTGAAATCTCATGGCTCTATCCTCCCAAAACACCCAGGGACATTTCATGTCCCCATTTATGGATGAGAAAAATAAGAACTCGAGAGGTTAAGTGGCTAGGCCGAGGCCAAATAGCATTGGAGCAGCTAAATGTGGTAAGCCTCTATCCCAAGACACCCACTTACCCCAGCTGAGGGTCCTCAGTGTCTGGACAGAGGCTCCTGGAGGCATCCTCACCCTCCGCCAGCCCACCAGCCCTCCAGGGCCTGGACTCTGTAGAATCTTCCAGAATGTTCGACTCTGGCCCCAGGGCTAGGCCATTGGTAAGGGAGAGGCCAAGGCTGAGGCCATGGAGGGCCATGTCTGGGCCCTTTGTGGGCTCCTCAGTGTCCACCAGGGCATGCCTTATCTCATGTCCTGGGCTGTTGTCACTACTATTCAGGTCCTCACTGGCTCCCATTCCATTCTGGACCTCGGGTGCCTCCTCGGGCTCCAGGCTGGCGTCCCAGGCGGCACCACCTTCCCCAGGCAGTACAGATGGTGGCTTATCCTCATCCATGGCAGCCACTGCTTCCACCTTGAGCTGGCTGCTCCTGGGACTCCACTAGACCTGGTGGCAGATGGAGAGATGAAGGGGTGGGTCAGACAGGGCAGGTGCTGAGAGTCTGAAGCCCAGCAGAACGAGCACCAGCAGCCTGCCTGGGGACAGGAGGACAGCTGAGATTATCTTTTCAGGACCTCCCTGCTGGAGTCTGGGTCCAGGTCATGGTCTCCTCACTGCCCTGCTCAGGCCAGCCCCACTCACCTCTCCCCTGATCCCCTGCGACCCCATGTACCCCAGTCCTGCCTTCCCTGCTACCTCTTATGTGTTTCTGTTGTGCCCTCAAGAATTCACCAAAGCCTCCTGAGGAAGATCTAGGTTGGGAGGGACGAGGAGAGGGTCCAGGACCCCTCCAAGCTCTCTTCCTTTCCCACTGGTGAGGGATAGAGACAAAATCCCAGGCTGACCAGCCAGTCCTCTTGCCTCTCCGTGTTGTCTCGCCCTGGTTCCAGGAGCCAGACAAGAGTGAATCTGTGGTAAGTGGAGGGAACTGGGCTGGGGGCTGCCTTTAGAGGCAGAGTTAAGAGAGGAGGCAAGGAAGCCAAGAGAAGTGCAGACTTATCAGAACAGAGGCCACCCGAAAGAAGCCGAAGTGAAGCCCCGAGGCCCAGCGTGAGCGCTGTCCAGGGTGCTGGGCGAATGCGGCGCCACCCGGGAGCCTCGCCAATAGCGAGGCTGTCTCCGCCGCCCAGCGCCCAAAGCGCTGGCTGTGTGAGGAGGAAGCAGGTGGGGGCCTGGGGTTCCCATCCACACCCAGCCCCTAGAGCTCACCCAGGCTGGAGGAGGGACTCATGAGGAGGCTGCCCATGGAGCACTCTGGGGAGAGCACTGGAAGGGGAGCCAGACCCTGCTCTGCCCAAAACACTGTGTAACCCTCGTGTGGGTCCAGGTCAGGCCCCCTCACTGCCGTACTCAGGTCAGCCCCACTGCTCTCTGCCCTGCTCTGGATCTGCTTCTCATCTGTAAAAGGAGGACACCCATTTTACCTGCCATCTCCACCCCCACCCCTTTTTAAAACGATTGGAACCAACCCATATTTCCCAGAGGCTTCCTGCCCAATCTAATCCCAGATGGGAGAGCAGATGTAATGTGCTGTGTTCTAGCTCTCCCCTTATCCCTCTCTGCCCCTGTCCCAACCCAGCCTAAGTTATTTCTGCCCCCCATCCCCAGTGACCTCTGCCACCAGGGACACAGACCAGCCCCCCAGTTCCTTCCTCTCTTCTTCAGGCTTCAGCTTCCCCCAACACCCCCACTCTCCTCTGGAGAAGGGGTGCTGGGGGTTCAGGAGAAGCTGGAGGAGGAGAGAGACGGGTCAGCCTTCTGGGCTGCAGCAGAACAAGCTGCAGGTACAGCAACAGGGATTTAAGTGAGACCATGCTGCCTATACTTGCCTAGTCATGAGTGTCACCTGAGGGACTTGTTAGAATACAGATTATGAGGCCCCGCTTCAGTTCTCCTGAACCAGAATCTACAAGGAACAGATATAGCAATCCGTTATTCTTATAACAAGGCAAGTTTGGGAAACACTGAGTTAGACTCCAGGAGGAATTTCCCATTTAAAGAAGATGAGCCTGGAGAGGAAGGTGAATCTACTCTGGGAGCTTCTGGGCCCTTGAGGGGAGCTCTGCCACCAAGGGACTACTTAAGATCCATTTAACCCTTGGTTTTCAAACATGGAGAGGAAGAAAAGAGGGCAAAATAGAGATCTGGGGCCCCAGTCCTCCCCCTCTCCTCCCCCCCCTCCCCAGAGCATCACTTCCTAGAACCTTGAAGACTGCATGAGCATAAGATTTTACTTTAAAAAAACAAAACCTGGGGATGGCCCCATGGCCAAGTGGTTAAGTTCATGCACTCCACTTCGGCGGCCCAGGGTTTTGCCGGTTCAGATCCTGGGCACGGACATGGCACCGCTCGTCAGGGCACGCTGAGGCGGTGTCCCACATGCCACAACTAGAAGGACCCACAACTAAAATGTGCAACTACGTATTGGGGGGCTTTGGGGAGAAGGAAAAAAAATTGGCAACAGTTGTTAGCTCAGGTGCCAATCTTTAAAAAAAAAAAAACCTACTTCAACAGATTTTTTAAAAATCCAAAGAACCAGGCTCTAGAATATCTGGGCCCTGCTCCTAGGACACCAGGAATCTCAAGGGGCTCGGCACTGAGTGAGGGATTCTTTTTGGTCTGCCCTAAATCCCTGCTGCTGCAGTTGCTATTTCAATCTGTTCCCTCCAGTTGTGCACTCAGAGGAGGGAGAACAGGAGGTCATCTCCTCAACTGAGACTCCTGGGGGGGGAAGCATTTAGAAAGGAGAAATGAGGGAGAGTGGGGCCTTTTGGCCTGCTGCCTGAGTTCTAGTTCTCTGGCCTGCTTTCGAGCCTGGGGCCTGGACAAGCATTAGATTTGGGGCACAGAGCTTCAACCCAGTTCTAACAAGGTGCCTCCAGCTCCCACACCCATGCATGGAGGCTGAGCCTGGCAGGGTGGGGTGCCTCCCCTTTGGTCAGGGCTGTGCCCGAGCTTCCAGTGAAGCCTGAGATTTGAGAGCACAAGCAGCTTCACCCGATGGTCAGTCTACACCAGCCCCAAAGCCAGGGTTAAGGACAAATCAAGGACCTCTTGGGAGGTCCCTACACTACTCCCCAATGTCCAGCAGCTGCCTCAGGCTGGCTTAAGCCCTACCTGCCCTGCCATGTCCTCCTGCAGCAGGGAGCAGGACAGAGGTTCTGCCAACACTGGGCACTGGGCCGTGTCCTTGGCTTCTGGAGGTGGGCAGACAAGGGATAGCATTGATCTCCACTCTGGGCGGGGGGCCCAGAGTCCCTGCCTGGGCTAAGGGCCAGCTGAGCCCAGAAATGGCTGAGCCAGGAACCCCCACTCTTGCTGAGCCCAAGGGAGGGGTGCATAAAGGGGATCTTGAGGGCAGAGGTGTGAAACAATGCCCCAAGTCCTCACTCTGAATCACCATGTTCCCTGAGTCTCCTTGTTGTCCCCTTTGGCCTTTGTGAACTCATCTGCAGAATGGGGGCAGCGCCTCTGCTCTCCTTCTCCATGGCTGGTGGGAGAACTTAAGGTCATGAAGCTGAGAGAGCTGAGATCCAAGGAAGAACAAACACTACAGAGGTCAAGGAGAAGCAGCTATGATCCACTCTTCTCACTATCACCTTTGACAAATGGGGAGAGGGAGGCACAGACCCAGGAAAGGCTTTGCCTGAGGTCACACAGTGAGTAGCTGCTTCTAGAACTCAGGAGTAGCCTCCCTCTGCACCTGGATGGGCTGGAGGTGAGGATGAGCCCTCAGTTTCCAAGGCCCACCATCAGACCCTCCCACAAGATCAAGGGCTCAAATCCTCAACCAGGAGAGTCTATCCAAACCAGTGATCCTGCCCACCTCCAGTCCTGCTGGCAAGAGTTGGGGAGGGGTACAGCTGGACCACAGGGCCCCTATCCCAAGGATACGCCTACAAATGACATGCTGGCCATGGCTAGATCCCCTGCATCCTCTCTTGGTCTGAACTAGACCCTACTCTGGGCAGGGGCTCCTGCTACCCACTGCCCTTGAGATGACCTTGGGCTCAGCAGCCTCTTCTTCAGTACCAAGACAGGGCCCATGAAGATAGTGGAACCCAGGCTGGGCCAGGGCCGAATGCCAAGCCAACCACTTGCTGGGTCTCAGCTGCTCTTGAGACAACCCTGTCCCTCTCCCCACTCTCTCCATGGCAGCTGGAGTGAGCTGTGAAAACACAAATTACATCATATCCCTCCCTCACTCATAACCCCCCAATAGCTCCCATCGCCCTTCAGTTAGAATTCAACCTCCTCAGCATGGCCTAAAAAGGCCCTGCCTGAGCTGATTCACTGCCCTCTCCCCATCCCCCACCCCATCAGCCACACTGGCCTTCTTTCTGCTCCCTGAGCTCATTCCCACCTCAGGGCCTTTGCACCAGCTGTACCCTTGGCCTAGAATGCGCTTTTCCTAGATCTTTAAATGACTGCCTCTTCTGTCACTCAGGGCTCAACTCCAATGCTGCCTCCTCAGAAAGGCCCTCTCTGACCCCCTGGCACTCACTCACAGTCCTCCACAGAGCATCATATCTGCTAAGCATCACTTTGCAAAACTGAAACTTTCTTTTCTATTTGTTTCCTGCCCATTTCCCTCACTAAGATGTAAGTTCAGTGAGAGTGGGGGCTATGTCACGTTCACTGCTGTCTCCCCAAGATCCTAGCACAGTGCCTGGCAAACAGTAGGCACTGGGATCTTCACACAAACACATAAGTGCACACACATGGACAGTTAAACAAGATGATCAATGAATAGGGCTAGTGTGTAGTAACTGCTCAGAACAGACCTTGGCCAGCTGTGCCCCACACCATTCACAGGTCCCAGGCTGGCCCAGCCCTGTGCACCCCAGGATCCACAGGAACCTGCCAGGTAACTAACAGCCTGGGCAGCAAGGAGTTGACAGGAAGACCCCTCAATGGGTCCCTGGATCACACAACTCACCATTCTCCGGGCCAGCCTCTGCCAGCTAAGGAGTCTGGAGGTCAGGACTTTCCTGTCATCAGGGAGCTCTAGGCACCTTCCCTAGGTACAGGTCAGCCTGGGCATGCACCTCCTTAATGTGCCAACTGCCCTGGGCAGGGAGGTGCCCAGGATAACATGGAGGGGATGCCCACCCAGAAGCCTTGGGCACTTCCCTACCTCCACTCCCCAAAGTGACCCTAATCCCTCCCAATCCACTTAGTCTTCCCAGCTTAGACCACCTTGTGCAGCAACAAGTGCCTCAGACTGGGACAGACCAAGACAGAGGGTCAACACCCTCACTGTGCAGTCAGAAAGACCTGGCTTCAAATCCAAGCTCTGCTACCCACAAGCTGTGTGACTTCAGGAAAGTTGCCCACCTCTCTGAGCCTCTGTGTCCTCCACTATAAAATGGGGGGTGCTAACAGCACCTGCCTCACAGGGATGCAGCAAGGACAAAAGAGATGGCGTGAGCATGATGCTTAGCTCAGAGCCGAACACAAGTGCTCAGGGAAAGACGGTGGCTACTGCTTCCCAGAACCTTCTCTGGAGTCTGCAGGGGAATAAGCTGACTGCCCACGCTGTGGGTAGAATGCACAGGACGCTCAGTGGGCCCCAGTAGACATCTGTCCTCGGCAGGCTGTTAGAGCAAGTTCTGAGGCAGGGGCTTCAGAGGCCCAGCCTGAGGGTGGAGACAGGAGAAAGTCTCCTGTGGGGGCCAGGAGGGTGGGCCAGAGAGGGCGCACCACCCTTTCCTGAGGCAGGTGAGGACCCTACAGTCCTGGCCCCACCAACACTCCTACCCTAGGCCAGCCTCCCTCCTAACTTTCCTTCTCAAGGCACAAGACCCACACCAGGTGAGGAAGAGGGCCAGGAGCCTGGGCCTCTCTTAAAAGGTGCCCATCTCTTTTAGGTGGTGCCAATCTGGGGTTATTAAGGAGGCTCAGCACCACCCTGCTTTCCTCCTCTCGGTTTGGCCCGTGGGGAACCAGCTTTGCCTTGGGTGACGGGGGTCTGGAAGGCTTCCTCTTTCTCATGGTCAGGCAGGCTGTGGTCCCCAGGGCTGGGTTTACATTTGCATCTTATCTGCATGTGCCCCAAAGCCTGCTGGGATTTTCAGGGGCCCCTGGGTGCAGGTCTGCAAAGGTCATTCCTTGACATCTCCCAGCTTGCTTCTCTCTCCACCCCTCAGTCACTTGGCACCCTCATTTGCTTATCATTTGCATACATCTGCAAGCTGGTTTGGAGAGCCCTCCACACTGATGAAATTCACAATGTCCATTGTCAAATCCCAAATCACGCTGACAGCTGGTGACTCTACCCCTAGCTGACTTCCCTACAGGGTGAGTCTTCAGTTATCTGGGACCACAAAGGACTAGGATATTCTGCTTAAGCGACTGGCTGCTGCTCTGTCTTCCTGGAGCTTCAGCCGGCACCTGGGACTCATTCTGATGCTTGAACCACGTTTGACCCATGAGCCTACGGATTGAGAGCTGAACCACAAGAGCTACAATGGACTGACCAAGTACAAGTCCTCCCAACCAGCCCTATCTTGTCTAAAACGCTGGGGTGGGAGCAGACTGGAGGGCTTGATCTCTGAAGAGCCTGCCCTCAGTCTCGTTCAACAGCCAGGAATAATGAACCAAGAAATTTCATCCTCCCTTCTCTCTGCCCAGTTTTCACTTACCCCATAGTCTCTAGAGCCCCACATTCTCTGTCCATTACACTCCAAGAAAACCCCTCTCCCTCTCTACCTCCTCCCCTGTGACCTTCCTCCCCACCCCAACCTCTTGTTATGTAGCTCTACTTAACCCCTCCCTTACTGAGTTCCCCCTTCTCCTCCTTCCCTCCCTTTCCTCTGTCATCTCCTGTCTCCGCTTTAGGACTTCGGCACAGTGTCTGACAAAGGTTGTGGTCTCCTTGGGGCTGGATGAGGGTGAGCAGCATGT